GACACGGCGTCGGGCCCGGCGGCCCTGGTCGGCGTGGGCCGCCAGTGGCTGCAGTGGAGCCGCTGGCCGCGGTCGTTGCGGAGCACGACGTCGTGGCGGTGGTACCGCTTGCCCCCAAAGGTGAAGGACGACGGCCCCAACAGGCGCGCGTCGTACTCGAAGCGCGGCGGCCGCACGACGGCCATGACCAAAGCGTCGTAGAAGCCGCCCATGGCCGTCAGCGGCTCGTCGTCGCCGCCGTCGCCGCCCGCGGCCCTCGACTGGTTCCGCCGGTCCCGCGACGTGCGGCCGAGCGCGTCGGGCGTCTCCCAGGAGAAGACCGGCGGCGTCTCGGCCAGGTCGCAGAGCGCGTAGTCGTCGAGGAGCGCGCAGGCCTCGGGCGCGCCGCCGGGCGCGCCGCGCGCCGCGTCGACCTCGAGCTCGAAGTTGACGCGCATGGAAGGCACGTCCGCCGCGTCGCCGTCGAGCGCGCCGTCCGCGCGCGGCGCCGGGCGCCGGGGGGCCCGGTCCGCGGGCGCGCCGCCGCCCTTGGTCGGCGTCGAGCCGAAGAGCGTCGACGACACCCAGGAGCCGTCGTCCGCGGGCGCCGGCGCCGCGGCGCCGCCGTCGTCGTCGACCAAAGGCGCCGGGTCGCGCGTGCGCCGCGCGAAGGCGACGGGCCAGCGGTGCGGCGGCCGCTCGTAGTCGAAGCGGAGCAGGTCCGTGCCCGGCGCGGCGCACCAGCGCCGCGCGCACTCCAACGGCACGTCGTGGAGCCGCGCCTTCGCGTCCGCGCTGAGCACGGCCGCGCCGCGCCGCGAGATCGCGAGCCAGCGCAGCGGGCCCGCCTGGGCCTGCGTCGCGAGCGCCGGGGCCGGCGACGACGGCTCCTCGACGCGCGTCGCCCGGCACGCGAAGAGCGTCGCGCCGTGCGCCGGCGACCGCGCCAGCAGCTCCAGATAGGCGGCCTCGGGCGACTCCGCGCGGGGCTCCGCGGCGGCCGTCGAGTCCGCGGCCTCGATCTCCAGGTCGCCGGCGCCGTCGTCCTTCATGTCCAGCCCGTAGAGCAGCTCCTCCAGGTCCGCGAGGAGCGCGTCGTCGCTCGGCGCGGGCGCCGGCGCGAACGCCGCGGACCCGTGGCGGCCGACGAGCGACCGCGCGGCGGCGAACTCGGCCTCGCGCTCCGCGGGCAGGGACCCGGCGCCGCGGCCGCCGCCCCGCGCGACGTCGCGCGCGCGCGACCAGAGCCGCAGCGCGCCCACGCGGACGCGCGTCGCCGCCGCGCGGTCCGCCGTCGCCGCGAGCGCGCCCCAGGGGTCCGCGTCGTCGTCGTCGTCGTCCTCCGAGTCGTCGAGGTCGTCCTCGAGGGAGCCGGGCCGCGGGGGCGACTCGGGCCCGTCGCCGTAGCCGTCGCCCCACTCGAGCGACGGCAGCAGCGCGTAGGACCCGCGCATGACCTGGGCAGGAAACGACCGGTGGAACGCCCCGTCCAGCAAAAACTTCTCGAGCTCGGTCACATCGAAGTCGTCTCGGCTGACTTTTGGACGGATCGATTTCTCTCGGCGGGTTCGTTTTAGACAGCTATGTCAAAAACCGTGCGAATACTTGCATGTTGAAGTCGTGTCGCATAGTTTCCCGCCCCGCGCGCGACGTTCGCGACCGTCTGCGCCAGCACGAGCCGCGCGATGCCGTCGTCGGCCTGGCCGTCGCCGCCCCGCAGGGCGCGGAGCGCGGCCTCGTGGAGCGGCGCCGTGAAGAGGCGCACGGCGGCGACGACGCCCACGCGGTCGCTGCAGAGCGGCGCCATGAGCGCGTTCGGCGGCACGCGCTGCTCGAGGCGCGCGCCGTCCATGGACGCGGACCCGTCGCGGATCTTGGCCACGTAGAGCGTGAGCGCGCCGGCCGTCGACGCCGCGATGCCCAGGCGCCCCGCGAGCGCGTTGACGACGTCGACGGCCTTGTCGTCGCGCGACACGTCGACGTCGACGCGCGACCCGTCGAGGAAGTGGACCGCGCAGGTCCGGTCCGTCGGCGACGGCGCGCGCGGCGCGCCGGCGCGCTTCGTCGGCGTCGACGGCGCCCCGGCGTCGTCGCCGTCGGGCACGCTCAGCTCGACCTCGTCGAACGCGTCGCGCGCGGCCGCCGCGACGCACCACCGGGAGGGCACGGGCACGCCGTCGTCGAAGACGCGGCAGTCGCCCCAGCGGTCCCGCGCGAGCTTCGACAGGTCGCCTCCCTCCGTCGGCGACGACTCGGACGCCGGCGGGGGCCGCCGCGGCGGCGTCCGCGGCTCCCGGGGCGACGCGGGCGACGGCGGCGGCCGCGGCGGCCGCGGCGGCGTGTGCCGCAGGAGGCTCGGCGGCGTGTCCAGGTGCTTCTTCATGGGCGAGTCGTAGGCGACCCAGACGCTGCCCTCCTCGTTGCCCGGGGCCCGGTCGCGCCGCGGCACGCCGGAGAAGGGCGCCCAGCCGCCGACGTTGAGGTCGTTCTCCGCCGCCGACGAGCTCTTGGCCAACGCGAGGGACGCCTGGACGCGACACGGGGGGATTTCGGCGCGTTTTCGAAGGAAAAAAAAAGGAGACGCTGGCGGGTACGTGGAGCTTCCAGCCGCCCGCGGACTCGACGCCGACGTTCGCGCAAGCCGCGGTCTGCGCGGCTTCCCGGAGCTCGTCCAGGGGCGCGGCGTCGAGGTCCGCGCGGAAGCGCGTGTGGAGCGCGGCGAGGTTGTCGTCCCCGTCGATCTTGCCGTTCAGGCCCGGCGCCTCGGACACGACCTCGAGCTTCCGCTCCTCGCCCTCGCCGGGGCCGGGGCCGTCGCGGCCGGAGCTCGCCGTCTCCGTGGACAAGCCCAAGAAGCTGAGCATCGTTTTCGTCGTCGAATCGTGGGGGCACTCGCGGCGCCGGGGGACGCGGGCGGAGGAGCAAGGCGCGCGGGGCACGCGGGTGGCTGCCCGCCCTTCGCGCCGCGCGAAGATGGACCGGCCGCACTCGATCTCCACAGCCACGGCTGCCCAGTCGAGTGGAAACGCAATTAGATTCGTCTGCGCTTTCCTCTTCGTTGCTGCCGGCTCTCCCATGCGGCGCGCCCGAGGCAGCCCGACTGCCGGCGCCGGAGCCAGCCGCGCGGCTCGGCACGACTCGGCGCCCGCAGCGCAGCGCGGCTCGGCACGACTCGGCGCCCGCAGCGCAGCGCGGCTCGGCACGACTCGGCGCCCGCAGCGCAGCGCGGCGCCGTCGTCTCCGGCAGCCTAGGAGGCGGCAGCCCCGACCATGGTGCAGACGACGACCTCCCAGCACAAAGAATACCTCGTGCTCTGCCTATATTACTCAATTACTTCCTGGGTCCTCGTCGTCAACTCGGGCTGGATCGTCAATCATGCCCGCTCCATCTACGGCAAGCGACGGCGCGCGTCGCTCAGCGGCCAGTCCTTCGCGTCTCGGATGGCGCGGTGGAGCAACGTGTTCCTGCTGTCGATCCACGGCATCTACGTGGCCATGAACCTCCTGCAGCTGGCCTGGTCGCTGCAGGTGCTGGCGACGCGGCGGCCCTGGCTCCTGAACCGCGCGGCCTGCGACGTCTGGCTCGCGTCGCTGTATTTCCTCTACGCGACGCCCAGGGCAGCAAAAGAGAGCGAAATTCCCAACTTCAAAGGCTCATATCTCGGCCGTTTTCCACTCGTTTTGGCTGACTTTTGGACGAGCGATCATCTCTCGGAACGGTCTCGAAGCGTGGATGCTGTTTTTGGAACGCGAGCGCGCGGAACACTCACATTGAAGCGACGTTGAATCACTCTTTTGCTGCCCAGGTGCTGGCGTTCGCGTTATTGTTCTCGTATTACTACGTCCGCTTCCTCGTCGTCGTCGGCTTCCGCGCGGCCGCGGACTGGCGGGGCACGCTGGCCAAGTACGTCATCCTATTCTTCGGCGTGTCGCAGTTCAGCATCACGTTCAGCATGATCTCGACGCACCACCGCGGCTACTGCTACTACAAGCGATCGACGCTACTCTACGTGTCCTACGCGTGCTCCTACCTCCAGATCGTCGTCATCTCCACGATCCTGCTCTGGATCTTCCTGGTCCCCATCCAGAAGCGCGTGAGCCACGGCCCGGGTCAGGCGCCCGCGGGCACCACGGTCGTCCGCCTCGAGGCCGTCATCGCGCGGAGCCGGCGGGCCGTCGTCGTCTCCGTCGTGTCGTCGTTCCTGCTGATCCTGGCGATCATCCTCGAGCCCTACCTCTGGACCTACGGCGGCGAGATCTACGAGCAGGTGCTGACGTCGTTCGCGATCCTGAATCCGCTGCGCTCGCCGGCGTCCGACGATTTTCGAGAGCTTTCGGGTGGTGAAATAACGAGACATCGTCACCGTCATGCGCGCTAGGGACATGGTGGTCAATAGCGGAACGATCCTCTACAGCCTCGACCAGCCCTTCGTCGGCTGCTCGCTGATCTACGGGCCCGGCGGCGGCGTCCCGCGCGGCGACGACGACGACGACGGCGGGCGCACGACCGAGCTCACGTCCGCGCGGCCGAAGGTTCGCAAGGACCCCTCGGAGCGCCGGGTCCGCTTCGCGGACGAGGAGGCGGCGCCGGAGCCGGAGCTCGAGCCGCGGCCCTCGAGCTTCGGGGGATTTTTCCAGACCGCGAGCCTCTCGTTCCGGCTCTCGAACCCCCTGCGGGGCGCGCCGCGGACGTCGCCGCGGGTCGAGGAGGGCCCCGCGCCGGAGGACCCCGCGGACGAGGAGCCCGCGGACGAGGAGCCCGCGGACGAGCCCGGGGCGCCGCCCCCGGGCGACGTGCCGAACCCGCTCGCCGCGGAGCGGCGGCGCGCGCGGAGCGCGCCGGATGCCCGCGACGCGCCGCCGCCGCCGCGCGCGCCGGCCGCGAGTTCGCCGCCGGCGTTCGACCGCGACCGCCGCGACGACTTCGCGCGCGACTCCGCCGCGGCGGCCGAGGCCGCGCGCGCGCGGCGCGCCGCGGCGGCGCCGCCGCCCGGCCCCTCCTAGGAGAACAACGAGCGGCGTTATGGCGAATTCATGACGAAGTCGTCGGCGAGGAGCTCCTTGGCCGTCGCCCGGTCCTTGGGGTCGATCTGGAGGCACCGGTCGATGAAGGCCTTCGCCGCGGGCGAGAGCGAGTCCGGGCAGGGCGGCGGCTCCGTGGACGTGGCGATCTGGAAGAGGGCCGTGAGGTTGTTGGAGAACTTGGGCCAGGGGTGCTTCGCCGTCGCCATCTCGATGACCGTCGCGCCCACGGACCAGACGTCCGCGCCGCGGCCGTGGCCGCTCTGCTTGATGACCTCGGGCGCCATCCAGGGCACGGACCCCTGGATGGCCTGCAGGGACTGCTCGAGCGTGCCCGTGCGCATGCCCTGGAGCTGCTTGGAGCACCCGAAGTCCGCGAGCTTCGCGACGCCCGAGTCGTTGACGAGGACGTTGCCGCCCTTGATGTCGCGGTGGACGATCTTCCGGTCGTGGAGGTAGCGCACGCCGCGCAGGATCTGGGTGACGTAGATGCGGATGAGCACCTCGGAGAAGACGCCGAACTGGGCGAGCATGGACGCGATGGAGCCGCCGGGCACGTACTCGAGGAACAGGTACATGAGCCCCTCGCTCCGCCGGAGCTCCGTGCCGAGGTAGCGGACGACGTGCTTGTGGTCGATGGTCTTGAGCAGCCGGATCTCGGACTCGAGCTCGTGGAGCTCCGCCGCGCCCGCGTCCGGCGCGAGGCCGATGCGCTTGCACGCGAAGAGCTCGCCGTTCCGCTCGTTGAGCGCCAGATAGACCTTCCCGAAGGTGCCCTCGCCCAGCTGCTCGCCGCGGCGCCAGTGCATGGGCTGGGGCGTAGCCACGGCCTCGGGCGGCGGCCGCGGCGTCGCCTGGTCCCAGGCGCCGGCCTTGCGCTCCTTCCGCGGCGCGTTCAGGGCCACGGACGGGTGGAGGCTCCGCGGCCGCGCGGGGAGGCTCGCGGAGAGTTGCCTCGCGACGGCGGGCCGCGGGGGCGCGTCCGCGTCCGGTGCGCGGTGCTGCGGGCTCGCCGACGGCGCCGGGCCCCGGAGCACGGCCGGCGAGTCGAAGGTGCGCACGGAGTCCGCGTCGCGGTCGGGCGACACCGCGGCGGTCGCGCGCGCGTCGTCGGCCGCGGGCTCGGGCCGGTAGGTGCCGGACGTCGCGAGGTCGACGGCGATGGGCGCCACGGGCAACGCCGTCGCGACCGTGGACACGGAGCCGGCCTCGGAGAGCGCCGCGCTGCGCTCGGAGCCCACGGAGCAGTCGTCGGCGACCTCCGCGGCGGCCAACTCGTCACCGGGCGGCGCGCCCCCCGTGCTCAGGCCGCCCGTCGCCACCGTCCCCCCCGTGCTCAGGCCGCCCGTCGCCACGGTGGGCGCGTCGTCCGGTTGCGCCGGCTTCTTCCAGAGCGGGAACTCGTAGGGCCGCGGCGCCTTGAGCGCGTCTTTAGGCGCGGACGCGTCGCCGGGCGCGCCGTCGGGGAAGAAGATCGTCGCGCCGCGCGCGAGCGACGCCTTGGCCCAGTCCGGCATCGCCGGCGGGTCCTCGCCGCCGGCCCGCGGCGCCTGCTGCGCCCAGTCCGGCGGCGCGCGCGCGTCGCCGCCGCCGGCCCCCTGCGGCGCCCAGAGCGGGAACTGGAAGAGCTGGGGCGCGCCGCCGCCGTGGCGCGCGCTCCGCGCCTGGCGCCGCCCGCCGGCCTCGGCGAGCGCCTGCGCGAGGATGGCGTCGTTCTTCGCGGCCTTGGACTCGTCGCGGACGACAAAGCCCGCGTCGTCGTCGGCGCCGTCCGCGTCCGCGCGCGGCGGCGCCGGCGCGGGCGTCTCGGCGGGCGCCGCCGCCTCGCGGCTCGGGGGCGCGCCGCCGTCG